TCTTCGTCAAGCTCTTATTCAAGCTATTCGGGCCCTTTAAAAATGGCTACCGCTTAATAAGGCTTGTGTGAGATCATGACTGTTAAGCTGGGTAGCGGCGTTCATGATAACTTTCTGGTAAAAGTGGAGTTCTAGCAATGATAATCGAACCTCAATACACTTACCATTACCAAAATGTAAGACATCTTTCGAGGTTTCATACGGGAAATACAATTCTTGATTACTACAGTAATCTCCCATATGTTCTCTGTAAATTGCCATCAAATACCACTAGAAATCCTTCGATCTCTGCTTGAGTAACAAAAGAGTCCAAAAAGTGATCTTTGCATTCTCCTTCGAAGGTTGTCCTCTCGTAATAGCCTGTTTTTGGATCAGTTTCACATATTTTGGAGCAGAGAAATTTTCTCCTAAGACTGCTTACTTTTCCTTTTTTAAGTATGAGCAAGGGAGCCAAACGTTAAGCTTTAAAGTCGGCGAAAATCTCGCGCAAATCCGAGCAAAAGAATTCCCAAAAGAAGGAAATCTGTCCACCATTTTGGAAAAAGCAATCACGTTTGCAATCGGTGCAAAAATAGACCCAAGAGGGGTAGGGAAGAAGTGGTAAAATAATTAAAAATTTTATATAATTTGTTGGGAAGTAAAAACGTATTTGTGAAGACACTTCGTTCTTAACATGACAACAAAAAAAATGTCTATATTCAATATCGGCTGAAGAAAATCTATTTAATTGGGCATAGTCGATTAGGTTCCGTGAACGCTTCCCACTACGGCCCGCCATTTTGGATACATCTGAGCCTTCGCGTGCGAGTTTCCGCTGGAAGGCCTGTCAAAATATCGTGGGAGCAAAACTTCACCAGTTGTAGGTAATGCTGTTCATGAAGTTACGTTCGTTCTTATTTCAAAAACAGTTTGTCCTGTTCACCAAAAGCTACAACAGCACACCATCAGTCCTAGTGACTGCCAATCACCACACAGACAATGGAAATTCAGCCCCAGTTCACAATGGAATCACAACATGGATTGAGGTTATCTTCATCTTTTTTCTCCATTTTCAAAATATCCAATTCTTATTTACTTCTGGAGAGGTTAATGAAACGTGTCTATCCACAAATGTTCTTCATTTGTTGATTTTCAATGAATGAAATGTTTATTTCCAGAACATGAATTCTACGGGATTCAGAGCCTGCCTCAAAGAATTGTATGAAACCAGATATGAACCTGTATCATTAAGTTATGCAGTTCTGACAGGTCAGTTAGATAGTAATTAATTCTTAAACAACGAAGTACTTGAAATGGTGCATGGACCCTATCTCAAGTTTGCTATTAGAAGTGGAAAAATCAGTGCTGTTAGTCCCAACACGTATTCTAGTTCTGCGGATGTATATCGTCAAAGTTGAAATTATTGGCATGATGTTGAGGAGCTGCATTTCGTTCTCGACCAGTTTTTATCGAAACTGTTCACTGAACTGAATTTTGTATTGTTGGTATAAAAAATAATTTATGATCATTAGAACATACAAAACTGTATTAGGCTGGGATCAAGGGTTTCTGAGTCATGCTGTGACGGATTGTTGTGCTAGACATCGCTAAATCGTGTGTTCCAAAGATTATTTCCTTCTATTATCTTTATTCTTGATCTCCAAGAGACTGTGCTACGAGACCAATAAGAGTTGTATATTTGCCTGAGTGTAGCAGAGTCTGTGATAAGTACATTGTCCTCTTCTTGATAAGCAAGAAGAGGATAATGTATTTTTTTAAGTATTTTTCTACTGCAACTTTATCATGCTCTGGGTTTACTGCATGGTGGAAACCTTCTCTCTATCTACAGTACAACTATTGCTTCTTACATAGATATATGCGACCCTGGATGGAACTACTTCGATGGTCACTGCTATTTTACAAGTAAAACCTGCGCAAACTGGACCACAGCCCTAAGGAACTGTCGAAACGAAAACTCAGCTATCGCTGATATTAAAAGCAGCGAAGAAAACGTTTTCATACAGCATCGCCATAATGGAGAAAAATCATGGCTTGGCCTCAATGACAGAACATCAGAGGGTAATTTTACATGGGCGGATCGAGGAAGAGGGAATTTTACAGCCTGGGCTAAGAATCAGCCAAATAATTTTAAAGAAGAAGATTGTGTGCACGCACTTGGCATTAAATATCGCTACGAATGGAACGACGTAAAGTGCAGTGACTGTCATCAGTACACTTGTAAGAAAGGTAAGGTGTTTACGTCGTTAATCAAGATTTATTTGGGAAGGATAGAGGGAAGTTAGGAGAGAGAGATGAAACGCATGTGCTACAAAAAAAAGTCCCTGCGTCACTTTCAAGGTAACTCTCGAACATTAAACATTCATTTCAAACATTCACTTTCCGCCCTTGCTAGCCTTTCACTGGTTCTTTTTGACCAATCTTTCCTCGCCTTTCGATGTCTTTTCTCGCTTTTTGTCAATCTACTTGGGCGACCTCTTCCCTGGTTTCTTTGCCTTCATTGCATTCTTCACCTTTCCTCGTATTTTTTCGCCTACCCTCGCTTATGTTTGGCTTCCATCTCCTTTTCCACTCTTTATTTGCCTACATCCGTCTCTCATTCTTGCCTTTCCTGGCCTTTTTATTTTGCCCCAAATTCCTACCCTACCCAGAATCTAGGTAAAAGTTACTTTTCTTACCCTACTTCACAGATTCAGGATACAGATAATATTTCTTTTTTAAAACTTTTTTTGGTTTGATGTCTTCATTTTGTTTGTTTGTTTTTATTATTGTATTGTAAAGGTCAATAAATATATTTCAATCTTCAGACTTGGATGAGTGCAACACAAACCAGGACGCATGTGACAGTAAAGCAAGTTGCATTAACACCGTGGGCTCATACACATGTCTTTGTGATAGTTCTTACCAAGGAGATGGCTTTGAATGCTGTAAGTACGATACATGTATAAATGAGAAAGCATAAAAAAAGCCATTAACCAATCAGCTCTTCCCAAAACTATCTGTATTTGCTTTCCAAGTTCTAGCTTTGGTGCAATGATGTTTACAATTATTACCATTCAAGTTAACTCGCCAAAAAGGCTAGCCCTCGGACCTATGAGTTATGCGAGACCTCATCTTGGCACAATTAGAAGAATATATAAAGCGAGGAAGACAGTTTGTAATCGTTTGAATAATAGTGCTCGACAAGTGAGTTTTACAAAAGAGATACATGTCATGGTAACTGGCGCTTCTCAGGATATGATATCATTCAATATGTTTATTTCTAATAAGCCTAGATCTATTTTTTTTGCTTGCTCGTTTGTTTAGCACCAACCCTTGGCTTGTACTCCAGTGATCCTGCTCATTCCTGCAAGGAAATGCGTGACTTAGGACTTTCTAGGAAAGATGGAAAATACTGGATCGACCCTGAGAAAAACGGAACTCCTTTAAAGGTTTTTTGCGATATGACAACAGACGGAGGTATGCTGTAGCTCCAGAAACTAGTTTGTGATAACTAATTTCTCTCAGGGCGGAGACAAAACAATCGAACTAACTTATGCTATTATTCATCTTTTCTCAGTTTCTCCTATTCTACTATTATGGGTTGGCCCCGTAAAGGAGAAATTAATATAGGTTAATTCGAGACCATTCCCAACAAGGGTGACGTTAGAAAATTATAGTAACAAATCCCTAGTTCTACAATTTACCCGATATAATTCACCCGCACCCTCCCCCCCTTTTTTTTAACCAATAATTTGATCGAGTTCCCAACAAGAAGGAAAACCCCGATTTTCAATCGTTACTTATTCATTTACTTCCAACATATTTGTTTGTTTATTTATTTATTCAATCATTATATAATTTCTATTCTATTGATTTAATTTGTAACTTGGAGTTTTATCCGACTTTAGGAGGATGGCTTCTTGTGTCTGAGGTTGTGGTCGGCAGTTCAAACAAACCCTTTCGGTTCTCAGTGGAATCATCGTACCGTGGAATCAGTAAATCTCAGATGTTCCTCTCAAACAGTGCCATGAAGCAACTAAGACAGCATTTGTCTTTCACTCAGTTGAGGTTCTACTGCAGAAAGCAGAGAACGTTCCACGTCATGACGGCAAAGAACAGCGCTGGTGAAGCAGCTGTCCAGTTTTTCAGTTACCAAACGAATGTAATGCCTCTCTCCTGTGGCTCGTATGTGAAAAT